GAAATTGTCGCAGTTTGACTTTTGATATAAAACGGGGTATTTACTCACCAGCACTCGTACCAGAGGCAAGGAATCGGACATAGGCGATGGTCATCAGTATAGGGTGACGGCAAAGTTCTATTTTCTGTTATTGGAAGCTGGAATTTTTGAACTAGACGCAATTTCTTCGCTGATGTCGCTGCGATGGTAATTTCGACTCGCTGAGATCAGTCAGGCGTTGTAGCCTGCACATTTCTCGTGCTTATGGCCATTCACTCAAGCCTCACCACTGTTTTACCTTAGCTGGGGTGAGAATGACTTCGTGGAACAAGTGGCAGAGCTTGGAGAAACATCGAGGGGTCAGCAAACTAAATGCCTGCAACAGCGATAAAATTTGTCGCTCTGGCTGAGACACTCAGTACATGATTGTACCTGCAAGAGCCGTGTAGACTCTACACGTAGTGCTGCACGCGCAGGTGCCGTACCATGGTATACCAGTGAATCACGGCCGGGCAGTGATGCTGAAAAAGAGGGCGCGCTGGACGTGATAGTACACTTACCTGCATGAGCTGTGACCACACAGCTAAAATAAATGGGCATGCCACGGCTAAAAAAAGTTCATTTCAAGATCGAGGTGATTCCGCCGACGGTAATCAACCGACCTCGCAACGATCGTGTATTCTTACTAGGCTTTGTTGGTGGTGAAGTAGAAATCATCCAGAGCTAGCAGACGACAAGCATAGCAGCTCTTGTCCTGCGGAGAAAGTCAAAATGTTTGAGATGAGGCGCGACCAACTTTCAACCTTCCTTGAAATATTTCGGAACGATATTTTTGCGTCTATTGACAACAGCGACGACGAGGACTTCATCTCTGCATGAAAACTCTCAGTCCAACTGTCCTGGAACGTTACTCTAGTCTTCAGACTATCATACTGTGCAATAAGTTTTGAATGGCTTAGCTTATGAAGTTGTCAGTAACAAGTGACAAGTCACTAGTCAAACTGCGACAATTTCGATGACGCGGAGGAAGTATGAACAAGTGCTCCCTTTTGGTTTGCGCTCTAGTCCCTTCATTTTCAACACCGTTGCTGATGCTATTGAATGGATCATAAAGCATCATTTCTCCATAAGTGATCTTTTGCATTACTTAGATGACTTTCTGAACGCCGTTTCTAGCCTTTCTGTTGCTAACCGCCAGCTGGCTATCTTGCTCCGCGCATTCATGCTCTTAGGCGTACCCCTGGCCCCAGACAAGATAGAAGGCCCTGCTCAGTGTCTTACATTTCTTGGAATAGAGTTGGACTGCGTTTCCAAGCAAGCCAGGCTCCCATCCGACAAACTGACTGAGCTCAGATCTCTGCTTAGGCCTCGGTCACACTACGGCAGTTTGAAGCTGGACGCAGCGTCAAGCCGCAGCACTTGACGGAGACGCGGGGTCACACAGTGTTTTGTTTTTTTTTGCAGCTCATGACTGCCGCGGCTTGACGCATTTGTCTACGTCACAAAACCACCAGGAAAACTCAATGACGACACGGATTCCCACGGAAACCGGCCTTTTGCTTATTATACAAAAAAATTGTCGGACAAAGTTTTCGAATTTTTCATTGATTTTTGATTACAAGAAGACGAAAGGTACAAGGCCCACGCGTGCACGATCGTTGTTGTTTCTTTCCGAATTTGAAGCCATTTTCAGTTGTAGTGTCATTGATCAGGCAAGAAAAGTCCGCATCGCAGCTGTGTTTCTCCTGACTTCGTCATACTGGTTGTCCTTTTTGGGGCTCTTGACGACAACACAACACTCACAAGTCAACAGGCTCCAGTTGGCCGATGACCCACTCAAACAACTGGTCCTTTCTCGACATCATTTTCTTCTCAGAAAACGCCTCGCTCTTCCGCCAGGTTCGGAGCAGAGGAGCCTCGGCCTCGTAGGTCCACGGACTCATCTCGAACAAAAAGAGGGAACAAAACAAACCTTGAACAGACGAATGTCGAATAACTGCTCAACTCAAGCAAAGTGTCTTGAAACTAATTATTATTTTACTTGAAAGACACTGTTTTTCCGCCAAGCGTCACTCCCATCAGCGGCAACGCAGCCGATTTCCCCACGTCAGACGCAGCAGCGTCTGACGCTCAAACTTCCCGCGTTGCGTCAGTTGCCATGGAAAAGCTCATGATTCTGACGCTGACGCAGCATTTTTGCCGTAGTGTGACCGAGGCCTAACTGCCACCCTCCAGCGTAACTCTATTTCTCAGCGCAGCCTCGAGTCCCTTTTGGGGAAGCTCTCCTTTGCAGCACGGGTGGTCACCCCAGGGCGCACATTTCTTCGACGGCTCTGGTCGGTGTGCAGCAGGTATCAAGAGCCCCACTACAAGATAGTACTGGACTCTGATGCTATGGAAGATATCAGGTGGTGGCAGCACCTGCTGCAACACTGGAACGGTAAATCGTTCTTCTTGCACCCCAACTGGACTCCATCGCCAGATCTACAACTCTATACAGACGCAAGCGGTTCACGTAGCTGGGGAGCCTACAACAACGGCCGGTGGATCAACGGCGCTTGGACCCGAGAAGAAGTGGAGAAAGACATCACTTGGAAGGAGCTGTATGCCCTGCTAGTCGCTTGCGCCACTTGGGGCCATGCTTGGGCAAAAGCTCCGTATCCTTATTCACTGCGACAATGCTGCAGTCGTGGACTGTGTAAAGTCGGGCAGTAGCAAATCAGCCCCAGTGATGCAACTACTCCGCGGACTTTTCTTTGTCTGCGCCAAACATAACTTTACCATTTCGGCCATCCATATTGCAGGGAACAAGAACCTGATTGCTGATTCTCTGTCACGCTTCTCTATGCAGGCATTTCGGCGGCTCGCTCCCAGCGCCGGGAACCTGCCGGACAACGTGATATGGCCCCAGTACATGGGGAAGTAAGCTACTACGCTGCATGCACCATTGCCCCGAACACACGGCGCACCTATTCGACCGGTGAGAGCAGATATAGTGCTTACTGCCAGTTGTGCCTCTGGAAACCCTTCCCAGCTACTGACTATCAGCTCAGTTGCTTTGCCGCATTCCTCGCTCGCTCAGTAAGACCATGTACTATCTCTGTGTACCTCAGTGCGGTGCACAACGCCCAAATTGAACAAGGCTTGGGTGATCCGCTGGAAGATGCTTGGCTGCTGAAACGAGTAGTAAAGGGCATTGGACGGTGCCATGGCACAGCTGTTATCACACCTCGCCTTCCTATTACCATGCCTGTGCTCTGCAAAATAGTGGATGTGTGCCAGTTGACGGAACTACTCAACCGACATGACCGTCTGCTGTACCAAGCATGTATGCTGCTTGCATTTTACGGCTTCCTTCGCTGTTCCGAGTTTACAGGGGAGACTCGGAGGACTGATGCTCGACTCGCAGACGGCAACATGCAGCTGTTCCTGCCAAAGTCAAAAACAGATCCACTGGGCAGTGGGGTCACAGTGTTCGTTGGCCGAGCCACGCAACCGTACTGCCCCGTAGCAGCGATGACAGCATACCTGCTCACTACCCGCATCCATCCACTGGGCCACTGTTTGTGCTCTCAGATGGACAGAAGCTTACTCGTGCGGCATTTACCACCACTGTACGTTCATTGCTGGCAGCATCTGGCGTGCCAAACCTGCACCTGTATTCCGGGCACTCATTCCGCATTAGTGCTGCTACGACAGCCGCAATGGCCGGTGTGCCCGACTCTCTGATCCGCGCCGCTGGACGCTGGAAGAGTGATGTATGTTTGCGGTACATGCGTATGCCAGCATCCCTTAAGTACAGTGTGTCGTCACAGCTTGCAAAGGTTAGCCATTTGGTCTGAATTTTGGCCTAGCAATTCTGAATATTTGCGTGGTGTGCTGGATTCGCGGATGTTCGCTCACAACTGGTTTGCCCTGTTGGCTTGCTTGCGACTCAGTTGCAGAGTCATTGCCTGTTCGCAACTCAGCAGAGTCTTTTCGCGTTGCGACTCATTTGCCGAGTCACGTGACATTGCACCAGTTGTTCGAATCCAGCACTCCACCTATCCAATTTAACTCAACCAGACTATTCTCTGTGTGCTCGTTCATGCGTGTGGGTCCGCATGCACGCGCATGTACATGTCCGGCTGTGTGAAGCACGGGCTAAAAGCATTTTGAATTTGTGATGATTGAGTTCAAAAAGGTGAAATTTGAAATTTAAACAAGAAGAAAACACAAAAAGGTACGCCATAAATTTGTTTTTCAATCACCCGCCGGTGAGAAATATGTTGCTACGACAACGTACCGAAATGTGAACATGCCGAGCGAAACGAAAAATTTACGAAACTTCGGTACGTAATCCAAACCTAAGGAAAATTAACGAAAATCGTTAGCGAAAGGTCCGTATTATGCGACAAAAAGAGAAATGGTTATGACAAAAAAAAGAAAAATCTTAGCAGAGGATGGTTTCGATCCATCGACCTCTGGGTTATGGGCCCAGCACGCTTCCGCTGCGCCACTCTGCTTCCCACAAACTTTGGTGTAGAAATTGGGCCCAAGGATTTTTCACACCCATCAAAAGAAATGATACTAAAAAATTAAACAGGGCACACTCGGAGTTGAACCAAGGACCTCTCGATCTGCAGTCGAATGCTCTACCACTGAGCTATATGCCCCGACATGAATGGAAGTGTTCTTATGCACTTTCATACGCATATCATTGCTTGGTGAACCTTCCTAGAAGCAAACAAAGACCCGTATACTACTACAGTTCTGCTTCATGAAATCCAGTCGCGTCGCTTAAGTACACGCCGGGCGTTGCGCAGCCATATATACAAGTGAAGACTGGGCTGTGAAATGATCCAAGGCGCAAACTTGAGTGACACAATTGGATTTCAGTGAACAGCACCGTATTACTGTTTGCACTGCACATCAGATTTGCAAACACAGTAGACTGTGTGGCAAGGGTACAGGACCAGCGGACACAGCATACAAGCTACGACAGTATTACGGCTAAGGGACACGGGCTGGTTCTCCCTTACCTTCATGTATGGCATGCCAGATGTAAGGATTATTCTCTTTTCTGCATGAGCAACCTGTAACAACAACAACGACGACGACGACAACAACAACAACAACAACAACGACGAAGACGACAACAACAAAAATAACAACAACAACAACAACAACAACAACAACAACAACAACAACAGCAACAACAACAACAACAACAACAACAACAACAGCAGCAGTAGCAGCAACAACACTACTGGTAAATTCAACAACAGCAACAATGATGATAATGACGACGACAATGACGCCGACAACAGCGACCACAAAGGCAGAAGATACATGTTAACAAGCACATGCCATGGTAGATAACATTATGTGTACATGGCGTAGATACACTGTACATGTCCATGCTCAACATACTCCACAAGTACAGCGAGCAACATGCATGACAACACACAGCACTGGACAAACAATGGTGCGTGGGTAATGGCTGTGCTGTGATGTTAGTATTAGTCCTACACGTGTAGTAAGTAGTACAAAGTAACCACTGCTGTTCAAATCACAACTACAAACTGTAAAATTAGGACACTGACATAGCGAGGGAGCAAGTTCAACGACAGTCAACGTACCTCAACGATTTTCCTTTGCTTGGTGCGAGGCGGTAGCAGGGAGATGTTGACGCCACAGCAGCGCAGGTGACGACCAAGAACTAGCATGCCATTATCAGCAACCAGGCTCAGCTGAAACGGACGAATCAGCGCACCAAGGGCCTCCTGCGTACAACCAGAAACAGAACAATATGCACTGCTAAAATACGGGCATGCATGCATGTACATGTATATATCCCCATAACCATTCTGGTCGTAGGGGCATACATGAATTGACTCAATTGGGCAGCTGCTTCACGTGATTGAAAACCTTCACATCAATAGTAGCAGCAGGCATGTCAGTAGAAGAGGTTACACACTGAGCAATGTGATCAATACAGTCAGACCTCGCTTATCCGGTCCTCGTTTATCCGGACCCCTCGCCATCCGGAAGAAAATCGCTGGTTACCGATGTGCAGCATATGTTATGCATACAACATAACCGGACCTCGCGATCCGCATACCGGTGCATGATTTTGTGTACAAACTGGTTGAAATGTGTACAAAAAGCTTCGTCGTATCCGGTTGCATGTGCCTTGCAGAAGCTAGAATCAGGGAGTTGTACAGGCAAATGAGGTCCTTGACCTGCTGGGTACATGTGGACAGCACTCAGTTGCATGCACTTGTCATTCTTCTCGCTTGTTTTACATACTGTGCACGCTAGTTGTACTGCATAGGACCCATCTACATGTATGTACAATGTCACTGCTTTTGACATGCCACATGCATATACAGTATGTGTGTTCAGTTATCCGGTTACCTCGCCTATCCGGATATTTTTGTGGAAAACAGATGTGTGCGGTTAAGCGAGGTCTGACTGTAGCAGCAGGCATGTCAGTAGAAGGGGTTACACACTGAGCAATGTGGAGTACAGTACTGTAGGGTGGCAAAGAACAAACAGGCTAGAATTCTACCAGGCACAGGATTCTCATCTGGACACGGCGCCTCTGCCATACAGAGATTTCTACAAGAAAACGGGAAATAAGAACGGTCTACAGTCAGTTTCAAAAAGATTAGCAATCCTGGCGATCGCCCGGGGAGTTTGCCGTCTTACCGTATGCGCGCTCGAGAGCTGGCTGGAAAAACTCACTGTGAACTCGAAGAAATAATCCGCGCGAAAGCATGAAAAATGATAACTCACTCACGTCGCGTCGGTACATGTACGTCTGGTTTACAACAAACGAGTTCTTCCTCGAGAGGCCTCGTACATTGTATCGACATGGAGTCAGAGAGGACATGTCGAAAGTGTGGTAAATGTTGACGAGCGGGATGGGTCCCAATTCGTTTCGTGCCCAATTTCTTTGAGCTGCGATGCAATTTACTCTCACGATGTGACGAAAACGACATCGACACAGACTCATTCCCATGCAAGGCCATGACTTGGCAAAGCTATCCGTGTGACTTCGACGACATTTTGAGAAAAGCAGACACCTGTGAAAGCTGATAGAAGACGGCGTTGACTCCTAAATTCAAATAAATTGCCGATCTTGAAATACTAAAATACATGTAAATAATTCTCAAAGAGAAATCGATCAATCGATGTGCCGTTGTTTTCAACAACACGTAGCTACAGCGCAATGACTTCCGTGTTCACTCACACCGTTTCAGTGTTGTGGTTGTGTTCACATGGCGTGAAGCAGTCAAGTGTCAGTAAGTAATTAGTTCGGCAGGAAACGCGAGCTCCAACAACAAGTCGTTTGGCGCAGCCACCTTCTTTGGCTTGTACTTTTTGTACCAGCGTGATCACCAAAACTATGAAAAAAAAGTTTGACTTGAAGATAGTTTGGGATTTGAACTCAGAACTTCATGGTCAGCAGACGTAGCTACAGCATTCATAAAAGGATAAATCGTGGGTTTTGATAAAAAAATCGATACTGACATCCAGGGCAAATTGTAAACCATGGGAAAAGGCCGGAAACCTGGCCGAAATTCTAACTCCTTAACGGCTGGTCCAATTGTTCCGAAACCTTCACAGAACAATTTGCCGTGTCCTAACAAGCCATTCTATGTACTTTGTTGTCCAAATTTCCCTTATCTTCATACTTTTTAAGACCAAAACCTGATTGCTAATCTTTTTGAAATGGACTATAGGCTAGAACGCCCAGTTCTAGGGGAGGAGGGATGGCACATGATGCAGTCGCTGATAACTAACTTCACTTACCGTATCTTCGGAGATGGTGAATTGCTGATGCTTGAGTCTGTGCATACATAACAAAAAATACCCAAGACAGGGGAAGAAAATACACATAATATGCAGGATGTTTACCATAATGCATAGCCGGTGCATAGCCGAGAACGCTTGTGCAACTTCAGTACAAACTGTACTATGGATAAAACATACTATGGCATGTACTGTACTGTTTTCGACCACCTTGCATTATGCTATAGCAGTCATTAGACGACCCTACATTATGCTATAGCAGTCATTAGACGACTGTACAGTATACTATAGCAGTCATTAGACGACCCTACATTTACTATAGCAGTCATTAGATGACCCTGCAGTATACTATAGCAGTCATTACTACATTAGACCTCAGGACATGGGCTGCAATTCACAGTGCTACTCAATGAAATCCCATCAAGAGAGTCAATGGCACGCCGGGCAGGGCTGTGCAGCCATAGACCAGCAAACACTGGGATGTGTACTGATGCAGGGCTACGCAAACCTGACTCACGCTCTCCCAGATCATTGAGCATCACTCTACTACAGATGTTCATGTCGCCATGGAGACACGTTACACTCAAGGGTCACTGCAATCACAATGTACTATCTCTGAAGCATAGAGTGAGTTCTATGTCCAGCTTTCATTCACTACAATTCGGCTAACGTATGCGCTGCACCCGCAGGCATAACAACAACAAACGTTACAACGTAATACCACAGCCTCCACAGAAGATTTCGTGACCGAGAGCACCAAAGTTGAGCAGCAGATGAGCCCCACAGGAGAATATCTACGGCTGAAAACACACCTTGCAGCTCGCCGAGCAAATTCCCAGTTTCTAAGCTTCATACATGGCTCTGGGTCCAAGCCAAGCTCGTTTGCACGCTGAGTTAGAACATCAAACGCTTGCACCAAGCAGTACGCATCCAGAGCTGAAAGAACGCAACGCCAAACAGAGAGAATTGGGAATTTGAGATTTGAGAATTGGTCCCAGTGTCAGGGGCGTATCAACATGTGGCCTATCAACTTAGCTAGCCGAGCACCTTCCAGCACATCACAAGAAATGCCTACCGTAAGACCCTAAAGTTCAATGAATTTGTTAAAAGATTCGCAACTTTTTCCCACTAAGCGGGGACAAATTCGAAAATTTACAACCCTGCCAAAACACGACCTTTTATTCCTCTAGTACAGAGGAGAGATGGAAAAGCGCAGGAGCATCGGTTCTTGAGTTAACGATGGATTATGTCTCGTTGATATGGTAATCATCGTGCCTCGTTTGAGAATCGACTCCCACGGTATTCGAACTTCAATGAAGTCCAAGCATGACAAGTGATAGCTCAACACACCTGCATAGGTTCGCTGCTGAGGACGAAGTGGTCGCCGCTCCCAGTCAGACATCTGCTGGCTCTTGTCCAGAGGGTTACCAAAGCACACTTCTATCAAGCCCGACAATCCTGTCACACAACAACAACAACAAGTTAGCCAAGAGGACTTACAGAATGAAAAAATGACAAATGAATGGGTTTTATACCAAAGATCAATAGCACAAGCTCACTTCTACAACTTATTTACTATACCGGTAGTTAACGACATCACACTTGGAATGGACACCAGGAGATAAGCACATCCGGTACTAACAGAAAGTGCTGTTCCTCCGGTAACCTGGTATTCCAATCCAAGCATGTAAAACGACTCATTCACACGTACATGTGCATGCCAGTGGACACACGCGCGCGCACACACGCACGCACACACACCACCACCACCACCACCATCGCCCACTCGGTCAAACGGTAACTTGGAAATATAGCAATACACTCAATTGATCATCTATTCACTGCTTACCAGTACCCGAAGTATAGTGTTTATAGACAGGGCCTTGCTGTGCACCTTCATCTACAGTAACAAATGAACACACACACACACACACACACACACACACACACACAAACACACACACACACACACACACACACACATGAACACACACATGAACACGCACACACAAACACACACACACACACACATACACACACGCACACACACACACGCACACACACACACATGAACACACACATGAACACACACACACACACACACACACACAAACACACACCAACACACAAACACATGAACACACATATGAACACACACACACAAACACACACAAACACACACACACACACGCACACACACACGCACACACACACACATGAACACACACATGAACACACACACACACACAAACACACACACACACATGTAGTATAGTCTTTACAGACAGGCCGTGTACACATTTATCTACGGTAATACAGTGATACACATGCAGTCAACAACTAAAGAATGCGGACAGTGAGAACACACAAATCAAAATTGCCAAACGCTGAGCTCGGAGCAGACACGTAACACGGCAAATACCTCCACCAGCTCCCCACCTTGATGAGAGTTGGAACTGGCGCCATTCTGTTCAAGGGGTTGCTTCCGATTGATCCGCAGCTTTCCTTCTGCAACATCGATCTGGAGGTTACAAAAGCAGACAGGACAGGAAAGGGAGACGTCACGTTACCTACCGAACAGTGCCATCATGCACCCCCCCCCCCCCCCGCCATGTTGACAGAAATCACTTCAAGCTCCATACGTGTCAGGACTAAGTTACATGAGAATAATATTATGCTTGTCTTGTATTCATATAGCTACAAGGAGGACTAATTGTACTGTATGCATTTCCTATAATGTCGATATGTATGTGTAAAATAGTATACAATGATCGCAAGGCACACAACGAAAGGGAAAGAGAGGATTTGCTCACAACAGTTTTCTTGTTACATTCATCAGTGAATCTACGTAACAACGGAATGGGGACTACTTGAAACTAATCCTATAAGGACAAATAAAATTGTTTCGTGGTGTGCCTTGCGATCATCATATAACATTTTACACATACATGTCGACATATAGGAAATGCTTACAATACAATTAGACCTCTTTGTAGCTATATTAAAACTGCTGTCTCCAAAACGCTTGTTTACTTATCTTGTATTCATAACATAATTATAAGTTATACTGCACAAAACATGTGCCATGTATGAGTGTGTATACCTGTGCCATGCATTGGCATGTATGCGTGTGTACCTGTGCCATGCATTGGCGTGATTGAGTGCGTACCCGTGCCATGCATTGGCGTGTACTGTGTGTAGGTACGCGTACCTGTTCTGATAATGTTCGCACATCCACTACTCTCCTCAGCGGCAGTATAGCTTCCCGTACACCCGGTATACTGTTCATCAGCATCTCGAGATCACCATCAAATGCATAGCCTGCACGCATGACACATCAATAAACATATGCACACAGAATATAAGTCAAGTGCTTTTGAAAGACATGGGGGGAAGCATGCACACACACACACATGTACGCACGCACTCATCCAGCACAATACTACAGTCGTGGCCAAAGAACTCCGCCCCGCGAGTCAAAAATAGCCCCACAGTTCCATTTCCATTACATCATACACGGTCCAAAAAAAACCCATCTGAGGGCCGTAGGGGCCTCGGCGCTGCTTTAGTTTAGGGTCACGGGTGGGATGTCTTAGGCCAGGGACAGTAGTAGACTGTAAGTACACCAAGCCAATGGTGTCAGAGCTAAACACTACAGCACAGTCAGAGCAAAACACTACAGCACAGTCTTGTAAGGAGGTGCTGTATGGCAACAAACTGACCAGAACACTACAGGACTTGTGACCATGCACACACTCACCTAACACCACCACGCTCCTGGACGTGAACAGGCCCGAAAAGAGCTGGAGCAGCAACTTCGGATCGGCCAGCTTTGGCAGAGCGATCATATCCAGCAAGTACACGTGCTGAGATGTTGCCATCTGAAGAAGGCCAATGCTGCCAAGCACAACACGCATACAACAGCACTAGTCAGCTGCAGGCGGCGGGGCTGACTTGAGCTACACATACAGGTGACGGCGGAGCAGACTATGCACATAATACAAACACACACACACGCGCACACACACACACACACACACACACACACACACACACACACAAACACACACACACACACACAATGCACGCCCACAATGCACAAGCACACGTGCACACCCGCACGCACAATGCACGATGCACAATGCACACACACATACACACACACACACGCAGCACGTAACATAGCTTACCGTGCATGACCACCTGTGCACAGCGTCGGTCTCCATTCTGAGTCCATACCAACAATGCTGCCATGCTGTATGAAGACCAAGAGTACATACAGTCAAGCTTGGTTAGAACGGCATATTGGGTATAACGACAGATCAGCTACAACCACGAAAAACCCATACCCACAGCAATCTTGTATTGATTCGAATAACGACAAATCGTAAATAATGACCAAGTTGTCATGCCGTGTCGCGTGAAAATGTGTCCGTATAACAACATTCTCACGATTGCGACGCATACTTCTGGCCTTCGCGTTCTGCAGATAAGACCACTGCGAAAACTTGGCTGGACGCCCAAGTTGACCTCACTCGCCAAGAGTTTCGAGATGAAGATATCTTCAACGCAGATGAAACTGGGCTGTTCTGGAGGATGACTCCTGACAAGACCCTGACTTTCCGTGGAGAAGTTTGCAAGGGTGGGAAACACCCCAAGGAAGGAGTAACTGTACTGGTAGCGGCCAGTGCAGCAGATGAGAAACTGCCCATGTTTGTCATCGGCAAAAGCAAGCGGCCCCGTTGTATTCGTGGTGTTGTCAACTTGCCCGTCACCTATGAAGCGAATCACAAAGCTTGGATGACCGGCAGCCTGTTTGAGAAGTGATGCACGCGACTGAACAACCAAATGCAACTACAGAACAGGAAGACTGCCCTGATTCTTGACAACTTCTCTGGCCATCCATCACTCGACCTCTCCTACATCAAGATCTTCTTTCTGCCACCGAACACTACATCGCTGACCCAGCCAATGGATGCAGGAATTATTTTAGAATCTCAAGCACCATTACAGGTTTCTTGTGAAAAAGAGACTTGCCTCCTTGGATTCCGGCGCCATCTTCCACGTCAACTTGCTTGACGCAGTGGAGCGGCTGAAGCATGCGCGGAACCTTGTCACAGCTGAGACGATTGGCAAAGTTTACGGCAACACATCAAACACAGAGGACTTGATCAGCCTCCTCTACAAGTGTCACCAAACACGGTGCCTGATCATTACGACATTGACCATGCTGATGTCCTGGGACACAACATGCTGTGTGAATCGGTTCAAGTAGTCTATGATCCGGCCATCCACGTTCGTGATGAAGATGGACACGTGCAGTCATTGGTCGAAGCACCACCTGTATGTTTACTGGCTCTGTCCGGGTGTTCAGAGGTTAACCAGCTAAAACGTATCCCGGACAGGCTGGTAGACCTACACGTGGCTGCAGTACCGATACAACGTAGCAGTGGAGACCCCATCGTGGACAAGCTGGTGGGGTTTGCAGGCTATATGGCTGCAAGCTGGTTCGAGGCTAGAGGCAGCCGCTCTGGCAGAAGCAACTGCAAGTGCCGGTGCGGATGCGTAGTAAAATCTGCTTCCATTCAACACTACGAGGACAACATCAGGCCAGTACGATCAGTGAAGACCCTGCAAAATTTGCCGCTGCCGCAATAGACGCGGATGTGGGAAGAACTCAAGAAGGAAGGGAGATTATGAGTGTAACTGAAGTGGTTGTCAGTGAGATTGACGATGACATACATCTTATAGAAGAGAGCCTGATTTCTTCATCACCAGATTTTCAGGATGAAATGCGGAAGATCGAAGAACGTGTGAAAGGTATAATCAGAGATACAAACCAATCAGATTTTCATCAATCGAAAGCCTTACGTTCCATGTTGGATTGAGTAAAAAAGGAAATCGAGGTAGAATTGATAAAGCAGAACAAGGCATATGTAGGGTAAAATCTGCTTCCACTCAACACTACGAGGACAAAATCAGGCCAGTGCCAACAGTTAAGACCCTGCAGAACTTTGCTACTGCGGGAATATATATGGCAAAGTGGCAGGCCGCAATTTGGCAAAGTTGCATCAGCAGGAGCAGCTCTTCTCGCTGGCAACCAGACACCTGAGCAGCACATCTACACTCAAGGATGTACTTTGTGGTGTTCAGCGGGTGCCAGCTCTTCTCGCTTTAAATCCCACTGCCAAACTTGCACAGCACGGCTTGGAGGGGTATGCTAAATTTCCAACAGAGTCGCTGCACGACATTAAAGGCCGCCCGGCACATGTCATCCAGGAGCTTAGTCACACACTGGGCAGACAAGTGAAGGCCACATGTGACGACGCTATAGTGGACAGCCAGGTGGGGAGACAGCACAGGCAAGGGTGTGACTGGTGACATGCCGCAGTACTACTGCAGGCAGCCATGGATGACAAGCATGACTGCCCTACACAGGCAACGCAATTGCTGGTCACCAAACTAGTTCCTGTTGTCTAGTGGCGTGTATAAGAACATAACACAGGTCACTGACTGAAAGAACGCAGATCTGCTCCATCCTCCCAGTAGCAGAGGCACATGAGATTGATGACAGTAAAGCTGAGGAGGTGGTAGAAGTTGCTCCAACTTTCCGCGGGGACATGGGCGGCTTCAATCTTGCTTTGGCCTACCTGCGTACCATCGAAGGCTCTGGTGACTACTCCCTTGCTGTCTTGAACTTGAAGGTACAAGAGAGTATTGCATGGATGCACGCCTGCGTGGAATGCCACAGAGTGTTATCACCAGCTACTTTTCTAAGTCACGAATTGTTGCTCATTTCCTCTGCATGTATTTGTATGCAGTTATGTACACTCATGGCCACAGAAATCCGACCCACGTGCCGAAAGCAGCACCAAGGTTCATGCGGCCCCTGCGGCTCTCAGATCTGTTTTTGGGTCACGCATGACGTAATTGAAATGGAAACGCATTGCTACTTTTGACTCGCGGGTGGGATTTCTTTGGCCACGACAGTACATGTGCACAGTGAACAGCAGATACGGATTTCTTTTCGTTGCGTGTAATCACCATCCCGCTCATTTTACATACCAGCACATCTACATGTACAGTTGCGCTCGGTGAAATCTGACCCGAAATGCAAAGCTGGCACCATGGCCCATGGATCAGTTCCGATTACATCACTCTATTTGTACATGTATGTGTACGTCCAGCCGCATTCGTGCCACTTCCAGGGCGTCAAGGGCC